ATTATCACTTCAGCTAAGGTATGGACTTCAATTAAGGAACATAACTCCAAATAAGGGACGTAACTCCAAATTAAGGAAGCGACTCCGTCTCAACGAATAAACATACCAGTTTTTTGTGGAATAAGTTGCGGAAAAATGAAAATTACGAACGCTTTTGTGATACTCTACCTGAAGATGTTCAAGAAGAAAATTTGTAGATTAATGCCAATAGGTCTTCTAACTATTTCCATGATATATGTTGTGTATCGCGCGCAGCGGGATGTCCAATGGGTGCTTAAAAGCTTACTGGAGGTCGTACCAACGAATGTCATCACTGCAATGGTGCCGCCGTCAACAACAGCTCCTAATACGACCATTACAACAACAGAAATACAAACTTCAACTTCTGTTGTGTCAACTGCCAGAACTGAAATTCATTTCCCATTAGATATAGATTTAGAAAAATATGTCAGAGACAAACTTGAAAAGAATATTACCATCCCGGTGAAACCCATTAATGAACACAACTTCACATATATACACCGTCCAGCAAAGTGCAAGTTTACCAGGACAACCGAAGACAATGTCACATTACTGATTCTTGTGAAATCGAGCGTCAGAAATGTGTTTTTACGAAATGCCATCCGGGACACCTGGGGTCAGGATCTGAGTGGAAATGTTAACCTTAGATTTATGCTAGGTTACTCGATATCGTTTGTAGAAACTACAAAAGCGGAGGCTGAAACATATAATGACGTCATCGTCGAAAACTTTGTGGATTCCTACCCGAACAACACGCTGAAGACTATCATGGGGTTCACTTGGGCAGTGACTGAGTGTTCTGATGCAAGTACTATTCTATTTATAGACGAAGATCACTTGCCACGCTTGAATAATATATTGGCATACTTAAGGTCATTAAATCGGGATCAACTTGGGTCTTTGTTCATTGGGTACAGGCTCATATCAGGGCGTGTATACAAGGGCAAACACCACTGGGCCATACCAAAGTCGGTATACCCTTACAAAAAATGGCCTCCATATTTGAGAGGCGGGGCTTATCTTGTATCACAAGATATAGCAAAACAATTTTCGATTGCTTTTCCTTTCGTCAAGTACCTTCATGTGGATGATTCATATCTTGGTATAATAGCATTAAAGCTGAACATTAAACCACAGCACGATACTAGATTTATGATGGTAAAAAAGAAACTTCAGAAAGAAAAAACACATTTTGTATATAATGACTATAAACAGCCTGGCGAGTTGAAAAGGGACTGGAAGATTATCAAAGACAATGCATAAACAAGTCAATGAAAGACAATGTTTTGAAGAGTGCCATAGACCCTTTGTGTGTGTATGATGGAAATTGTAAGTGTGGTCCACTTGTTGTGGATCTGTATTTTGAACTGTTCACTTATAGTGCAATATCAGCAAAACCCCTCATTCACTACTGCATAAAAACTGACGAACCCAAACCAGACTTGAACATCATCTATCGCAATATAGACCAGTGTTATAAGACAAAGTGTCATCCGTAGGAAAATAAATAAATACCCAAGTCATATTTTAAGGTAGAATTCCACAGTGTAACGATTCTATGTTAAAGACTTGCTCATTAACCTGAAGAAAAGCAAACCCTCTGATTAAATTTCTGTAATTCGTGCTCTGATGATAAAGTTATCCCTATATTTCGGCAGTAGAAATTTATGGGAGAAATTGATTGAATTGAATAAATACCTAATGCTATTTAAATCAATGAAAGATTTAGGGATGTCGGTTAATTATTATAAGACTTGGAAATTTTCTGCAATCTGATTGGTCGAGATCTGCTTTGCTGAACTGTATATATTCATTTTAACACCTGAAAGTTTACTTCTCATATAACATCCTCGATATCCAGGGGTTACGCTCACTTTCGTGCTCTGCAGCGAAAGTGAGCGTAACCCCTGTATATCATTTTAGCACAAGTGCGTACCTGGCAGTATAATAGCATGGGTTCGTATCCAAAAATAAAACAGGGATTTCCCAAAGTTTCCATTGTTGAAATAATCATTTGAGAAGAAAATCAATATCGTTAAAATGGTTTTATTTTAGCTCCACCAAGTAATGCCATGGCGCGGTGTCCGTTTAGTCAATTTTAAGCTCACCTGGCCCGTTGACCGTTGACATTTCCGAGGAATTTGACCAAATTTGGTCTGGAGCATCTTTGGCAAAAGGGTTCTCAATTTTGGATAAACGGAGAGTATGCCCCCCCTAGGGCTGGGGACAGAGGGGCGGGCCCAAATAGGGGGGAGGGATTGGAAATTCTTCAAATATCTTCTCCTTCTCAACCAATGCAAGGATGTTGACCAAATTTGTTCTAGAGCATCTTTGGACAAATGGGCCTCGAGTTTGTATAAACGGGGAGTGTAGGCCCCCTGAGGGGAGAGGGACAGGGCACAAAAGGGGAAATAGGGGAAAATGTGTCTCCTTCTATACAAATGAAGGGATTTAAATCAAATGTGGTCCGAAGCATGCTTATGAAAAAAGGAATCAATTTTGTATAAACTGAGGCTTTAGGACCCCTTATTTGGGACAGAAAGGTAACGCCCTTTAGGGGAAATAGAAAAAAAAATAAAGATCCAGATCCTTCTCTTTTTGTACTGATGCAGGGAGTTTAACCAAATTTGTTCAAGAGCATCTTTGGACATATGGAATTTAATTTTGTATAAATGGAGGATGTAGGCTCCCTGGAGACAGAGGGGCGGGGTCAAATGGGGGAAAATAGGGGAAATTGAGGTAAATGTGTTGCTTAGAGACAGAGGCAATATTTGGAAATAGTTGCAGTACATGTATTAGTATTTTATTTAATAAGAACATTTTTCCATGTATGTGTAATTATCTAGGTGAGCGATACAGGCTCTCTGGGCCTCTTGTTCCAAGAGCTTTCATTTCAATACATTATAACTTGATTTACTCATTAAGGCAGTCATCTTGGGAATAGTCAAAGTGATTTCAGTTTATTCACTCCACAATTATTTTTTTGTATATATAGCCCATAGGGCTCAAAATGTTTCATGTTTGATTATTTTGAGCGTCATGTAATGAAACAACTATTAACTTCCATTGAGGTCGTTACAATGATTTATCAACTTTTGAAAAGTGATATTTTCTTTCGGTATCGGCTGGGCCTCCGGAAAAGCTTATCTTCCTTGGGTTGATAACTCATTGCATCGACCTCAATTGATGTAATTAAATAGATAATGCACTATCACTTGACAATCGTAGTAAAATTGTGTTATGCTTTAATTATATGTGTATACCATTGCTTTCACCTTAAATTCTGAAAGACAGAAAAGAAACTCAATAATAGTTTCCTGTTACATTAACTGGAACTTTTTTAGAATATGTTTTATTTTTTGTAATGTATGCTTTACAAACTCCAAGCATTGGGCATTGGAAAAGCTAGATTACTTGGCTACTTAATAAATATGTTTCTCAAATTTACTCTCGTGGTGTGTGTACTGTTCAGTACTCGTGTTGAGCGGAATGGAAAGACAACTCCTTTTTTAGCTCACCTGCCCGAAGGGCAAGTGAG